CACACTTGGTGTTGATATAGCCATCGTTCATGTCATGATGACGATAGTATGGTGGCACACACTCCATTAGGGACATTAAAGGAAAGAGATTTAATAGGATATAGTTGTACAAGTGAATTTGACCATTTCCAAGGAATGACATTACATAAAATTGAATTGTGATGTGGATGGACTTTCAATATTGTTGCAATAGTCCTTGTCACCAAGTGCGCACACATCAAAAAAGAGATGAATTCAAAAATAAACATCTTAAATTGTACCATAAGTAAAAAATCATTAGGATAAATTACACCCAAACCTTCTAAGTTTTATCACTTTATCATATGAACTTTTTTATATTTGAAATATTATACTTAGATCTTTTTATTAGTGATGATTAAATAACATAACTAATGGAATCAAGTAAAAGGCCAAAATACCACAATTACATATAGAATATATTTGATTAATTATACTTTGACCCTTTCAAATTTATCGGTTAATTACCTAGATCTCTTACATTTGGAATATTAACCCCCTAAATTTTTTGTGTGCATATAACACATACACATTTATTGTTAGCATTCGTTGCTATAACCACTATAATTTAATTATGTCATTATAATGTACACATATCAGTGCTTGTATTACTTAGTTTTTTTTTTTTTGAAAAAAATATAATTTTTGTTTGATTTTTTGCTTTATTCTAATAGACAGTATAATAGAATACAAATGGGTATCAATTTGGATTCTTTGATATGTTTGTATTGATTAGATTTTTTCCTAAAAAAATTGAGAATTTGTTTGGTTTTATTTCTTTCTTTTTCTTCCTATTGGTTTGGTTTTATTTCAATGGATGGTATAAAAGAACATAAAAATATGTTGATTATGCTTATATGATATGTTTGTACTAATTATAATTTTTTCCTAGAAAAAATTAGAATTTTATTTTTAATTTTATTTTAATAAATGACTTAATAGAACATTAATTTGATTGAAGAATTTAAAATATTTAATATTATGTACTGATATTGGGTCCCATACAAGAAGGGCAATATTAGGATTATGTTGACATAACATGATATTTTAAAGAATCTACTACCTAACACTAGCAGGGGTCTATATTTACTGCACACAAATTTTAGAGAGTTTTAAGTGTAATATTCATAATGTAAAAAGGGTCAACGTGGTTGAGTGACAAATCTTAGATAATTCTAGCATAATTTATCTATAAATAATTGCATTGGGCCTAATAGAAGAAAGGGTGGTATTGAAATTATATTTGTATATTATGATGACATTATGGAGACTTTGACAGTAGGGCCAAACTTGAGGGAGATTATGTGTAATAGTTTAAATATTAGGAGTTTATATGATTAAATAATAAATTTTAGTAAGTTTGAGTTTAATTTATCCAAACTGAGGGCTGACTTGGTACTTTGCTAGTGGTGTACGTATTCCCATTGATTACACAAACATAATATATTTCTTTTGGCAGTAGTGGCCAGTGTTCTTTATTGATGAGTGATGGTACTCCGGAGAGTTACAGTACTTTGAAGGAGAATAAGAGAGAACAGTGTGTATAAGAGTGGGTGTAGAGGATTTGGAGGTCTTGCCCTCGATGTTGATATGACTTACATTATATAGTTAGGGTAATGTAGCAGAGGCGGTGACGTGAGGGAGAAGAATTATATTGCTTTGTCAAGTATTGTTATGGTAGGAGACATTCTATGTCTATCTCCATATCATCTCCCCTCGTGCTCCTATTCATTCGGAGGAGAATATTAGTTGAACTAAGCTTGACCCTCGTTTTGGACTTGGACTTGTCTTGAGTAGGCTTGGCTTGGACTCGGATTGATCCTGGACTTGCATTGGAACAACGAAGCAAAGAGGAGCAGGTGCCCAAAGGCCTGCCTAGGTGGCGCCCAAGTGTCCCATGGGTAGCGCCCTGGCCTCTTCGTTCTTTTGTTCTGGGCATTGGGTGCCCTGGATCTCTTTTGATGGGTTAACCCATCTGATTGAACTTTCCTCTTGGGCTTTCTTGATTTATTTGAATTGAGCCTAACTCAGTAAAATTCAGGCTCATCAATAATGATGTGCCCGTCCCCTCTTATCTAACTAATTTCTTACTAATATTTACCCCCAAAGAAAAGAAAAGAAAATAACGAAATTATTTTGTCGGGATTGCCCTTTTCTCACCTTCTATCACTCCCTTGAAAAAAACCCAAGTTAATAAAAATTTCAGTGTTAGTAAGAAAAAAAAATAAAAGTAAATTACGACTAGACTTTCTGAAGTTTGTCACTTAATCACTCAGACCTCAACATTTAAAATATTACATATAGACTCCCTAAAATTTGTACCCGCGTAATACTAAGACCTTGCAATCAATTTCGATTAATATATCTGTTAATAAATTACACTAAGACCCCTAAAAGTTGTAGACATATAATACTTAGACCCCTTAAATTTAAAATATTATATTTTGACCAAAAAAAATTCAACCAAAGATATAATATTAAATATTTTAAAATTTAAAACTAAAATTCATGTTCTATTATGATATTTATTGAAATAAAATTAAAAATAAAAATCTAATTTTTTCTTAAAAAATTATAATTAATATACAGTTACATTATCTATTGAATTTAATTTGGTAATTTAAATGATCAAATTAAAATACCAAATTACCCCAATTTAAACTAGAACATATTGTATTCATTACAACTTGACCTCTTGTTTAATTTTTTAGTTTTATTCTAATAAATACTATAATTGTATACTAATTATGATTTTTAAGAAAAATTATATTTTTATTTTTGATTTTATTTCAATAAATGACATAATAAAATATGAACTTTGGTTGTAAAATTCATGATCGATTATGAATGACTTAGATTCCTTGTTTGAATTTTTTAGTTTTATTATAATAGATAATATAATTATATACTAATTTATGATTTTTTAAGAAAAATTGAATTTTTATTTTTAATTTTATTTCAATAAATATTATAATAGAATATGAATTTTGGTTGTAAAATTTAAAATATTTTATATTTTATATTTGGTTAGAATATTTTTTGTTTAAGTATAATATTTTAAATTTGAGGGGTCTAAATATTATACTTTTACAAATTTCAGGAATTTGGATGTAATTTACTAACAAATATTTGATGGTAAGGGTCTAAGTATTACATGTATAGATATTTTAGGAGATCTGTGTATAATATTTTAAATATAAAAAATTTAAGTGATTAAGTGATAATCTTAAAGAGTTTGATTGCAATTCTTCAAAAAAAAAAAAAAAAAAAACAAATGGGCGTTAGGTTGGGTGAGCATTAGAAGCCCTAACCTGTTTCTTCGCTTGTATCGTAATCGTAATAAAGAGGGATTGGTAAGAAAGGGGTTGTTGGACTTAAGCTTCTTCATCTTTCAAAAACCTCCATCCCTTGCTCTCTCGTTCGCTCTCTCACAGTTGTGATCTCGTCATCATGGCTTCCATATCCAAGCTCTCAAATCCCACCCCCACTTATTTAGCACCCTCGTTTGCGTCAAGGTATTCAGTTCCCAAGTCTTTTGTTGATTTGCGTTTAAAACTTCTTTCCAAACAGGACTTTCAGCCTCTAGCTTGTCGGTCAGCAGTAACCATCCTTTAAGGCGTTCCTTAATGTAAGTTTCATCTATATATCATCCATATATGCCTATCATTCTTTTATTCTCTCGCGATCTTCGTTTATTTATGTGTTTGTATTGGTGTTTTTTTTTTCCCGGTTTTCTATAGTGTTGGGTGGCATAATTCCTATTGGCTTTGCTTGAACTTTGTTAATGAAACGCGAAAAAAAAAAAAAAATCCTCTGTTAATGCATGCAAATTGGTCGATCTTGACATATATTCGAAAAAAGAGTGGTCTCTTTGTTGTTGAAGCTCTTTCATAGTGTAAATGCTCAGCTAGTTCCGTACCTTTTTTAGATTGTGCTTGCCTGGGTGGATCCATTAAATCATCAATTTTTCCAGAGGGTAGGTCAATTACATTAGGTGACTGACTGACTGACTGGTGTTTTGGATGTGACTCCTTTTCTCCGTGGTGATTCAACTAGCATTATATTTTATTTTTGAAATACAAATTATGCTAATAAGAAGGCTTGACTGCACAAGAACCAACTGTAAATCTTCTGGTGAGTGCAAAGTTTTGGTTCATATAGCTGGGTTCAATTTCTGTTGATGGATTGAGATTACATATGTGATTCCTTTCTGCTTCTAATGGAGCTGAGTCCATGTGATGTGATCACCACTTTCAGTAGAATTCAGCCCTAAAATACTCTTATTTATTTTTTAGGTAAAGATTTTGTTATTTCAAAATGTAGGTAGTCTCTTGTTTCCATCCTCTTTTCCCTTTTTATTTTTCTTCTCATCATTATTTTGCATAATTTTAACTCAATTAGTTGGTTGTCAGTATTAGATGCTCCCAAATCGATGGAAATGGAACCCAAATCAAGAGAACTACTCTTCATGATCTATATGAGAAGCAAGGCCAGAGTCCATGGTATGATAACCTCTGTCGTCCTGTGACAGATCTGCTACCATTGATCGCAAGTGGTGTCAGAGGTGTTACCAGTAACCCAGCGGTAAGTACGCATATTTAGTTACCAATAACCCACAGTAGTTTCCTCATTTTCCCCTTTGACACAAAGCAAAGCAGGATGACAATGCAATAAAGAAATAGAGTAAATTAATTGCTATACTTCACCATACCCTTAAATAGAGTAAATTAATTGCTATACTTCACCATACCCTTTCCTCTGGTAGATATCCTTAACTCAATAATCCATTCTATATACATGATGCAGATCTTCCAGAAAGCAATATCAACTTCAAATGCATACAATGAACAATTCAGGTATTGTTCGTGACTTATTTTGACTGTAAGAGTTATTAATCCCATGTGATGACAAGTTAGTTGCATGATTTGTGATCTCCTTCATTAAAGCCAAAAAGCTGCCAGGGTGGGGGCAGCAATCATATTGCTAAATGAACTGTGAGAAGGTGAACGAGGCAAACAAAATATCCTGTAATGTTGAATGCCTAAAGAGATAAGGGTTTGGGGAAAGGGGAGTGTGATTACTGATTAGTGGTTTACTGACACCACAAAGTAACTTTTTCTAAAACATGAAAAAAAGAATAGTTCTCATAATTTTGTATTAGGAATAACTAAAACATGAAACATGCCACTTCCAACTCTTGGACATATATTGCTTTACTTTTTTTTTTATCGACTAGAAAATGGGATTTTTTTATAACAAAAACTGGTTGACGTCCATGTGTGTAACAGTTGATCTATAGAGAATGGAAAGGAGCTTCATTTGCACTGTTCAATTTTCCTGTATGATACTTTTGATAACTCAGCTGATTTGCTGATATATGCACACTCTTGTATCCTAAAGTAGTTTTTGATTTTTTTTTTGCTGGCTGGAAACCCAAAACTGGCTTTTACCTTATAATTATGATATATCTGACCTTAAATAGATGGGTTCTACAGAGAACTTGTAGAAGCTGGAAAAGACATAGAAAGTGCATACTGGGAACTTGTGGTGAAGGACATCCAAGATGCATGCAAATTTTTTGAGCCAATCTATGATCAAATGGATGGTGGTGATGGCTATGTTTCTGTTGAAGTTTCACCCAGACTCGCTGATGATACTGATGGGACAGTAGCGGCTGCAAAATGGCTTCATAAAAAGGTTGATCGTCCCAACGTGTACATAAAAATTCCTGCTACAGCTGCATGCATTCCTTCAATCAAGGAAGTCATCTCACATGGCATAAGCGTCAATGTAACTGTAAGTTGATTCTTTGCATTCTTAAGTGTGACTTTATTATTGAATACTGATGAAACTGAAAGTGATTTGTTGATGTTCTTTGGTGGTCATGAAGCACTGTGTCTATTTTTAGTGGCGATGACCTTCTCCATTAATATATGATGAAGTGAGAGTAACTTATGTAGAAATATGATTTAGTAGCTCGGATATTGGTTGTATATCGATTAGCGAAGAGGATCATAAAAAAGTACCAGCACTGGACTAAAATCACAGTTGTTATTGAGTGCAATTGCCATGTCATGGGTTCAACAGCAGAGTCTAGAAATTGTTCTACTCTTTCTTTTTTGTTTTCTTATTATAGGAGATCCAAATTAAGGCTTAAATGACAGGTTATTATATATCTTTTACAAACATAAAACAAAAAAATTGGTCCTTCATTCCAAATGTCCTAAACTCATATTTCACTGGAAAGGTCTGAATTCTAATTCTATCCCAACTTCTTTGAGCAATTCAAACTGCATTGTGATGCTTTCCCCGCCACTAGTCAGAAGGGATAGAAAAATATCTCCTCTTTATGGAAGATATAAAGGCAGTACTTGAGTGTCAAGGACAACTGGACTAGATTATCATTGGCAAAAGCAATCGTGAATAAATTGTTTGCGTTGGAGGTTTTTTGTGATACGATAAGCTTGCTTGATCTAGAAATGAAGCAGGAAATGGCGAGAACCATTGTTTGCTTTTAGCATCTCAAGAAAATTGGGAATATTGGAAGTAAAGTCTGAAAAAACCTAAAATCTGAGGTATTCCAACAGCAATATCGATTTCCAAACCTTGTTTTTCAAGGTTTTAATTTTTTTCCCTCTCCTATTAACTGACCAGGGAATATGGGGACTGACTTGAGGAATCAACACAAAGGATACAAGTGTCATGTTGAACCCTTGTAATACTGCTAACTGTTGAATTGAATGCAGAATTGGTCAGGTTTTCCAGGACTTGTTTACCAAACTAGGGAGTGAAGAAAGAATAAGAGATTTGAGAGTCAACAGGTGGTCCTATTAATGTTTTATATGTACTTCCTTTTTTTTTCGTTAACAAGCACTGATAGAAGTTTGTATTACAACACGTGGATTGACTTGAGATGCTTTGTTTTAGCTCTGATCTCTTTACAAGGTGATGCTTGGTAGCATGCATGTACCAATGTTGCAAAAACCACTTTAGTGCTAACCAATCAATGAATTACTATCTTTTGAGCGTCAGTGCTTTATTTGGATGGATTGGGCACAGTGACTACCTTTTTAGCACTGATGTGCTTATCTTGATTTTGAAAGAGCCCATGACTAATATGTTACTAAGAGAAACCTATTGAATTACTATCTTTTGAGCGTCAGTGCTTTATTTGGATGGGTTGGCACAGTGACTACCTTTTTAGCACTGATGTGCTTATCTTGATTTTGAAAGAGCCCATGACAAATACGTTACTAAGAGAAACCTATTGGATTTGCTCATAATGCTGTGAACAGAGTCGTATTGTACCACTATTTTTGGAGAAATGTGATGTACTATTGCTGATTCCAAATTTTTGCTATGGATATGCACAGCTTATATTCTCTCTTGCAAGATATGAAGCCGTCATTGATGCTTACTTGGATGGCCTTGAGGCTTCTGGGCTAAGTGACCTCTCCAGAGTTACTAGTGTTGCCTCCTTCTTCGTTAGTCGAGTAGACACACTTGTTGACAAGATGCTTGAAAAGATTGGTACTCCAGAGGCTCTTGATCTCCGGGGAAAGGTAATCAGCATATAGAATTGTAGTGATTTGAAACTTTTGCCCATGTGGTGTAACATTTCTCCTTTTCCATTAGGCTGCAAATGCTCAAGCAGCTCTCGCTTACCAGCTTTACCAGAAAAAATTCTCTGGTCCAAGATGGGAGGGTCTGGTGAAGAAAGGTGCTAAGAAGCAGAGGCTGCTGTGGGCCTCTACCAGTGTCAAGAATCCAGCCTACCCTGATACTCTATATGTGACTCCTCTAGTTGGACCTGGCACGGTGAGCCATCTTATTATATTGACAGTTGTGGTTGGTTGCGGTCATGTTTTTTTACTTTTTGTACTTTCTTGAATTTATCTTAAATGTTCATCTATACCGCCTCTTCTTTCTATAGGTTTCAACCATGCCTGATCAAGCTCTCCAAGCATTTATTGACCATGGTACAGTTGCAAGGACAATAGATTTGAATGTATCTGAAGCAGAAGGCATTTATAATGCCCTAGAGAAGTTGGGGATTGACTGGAGCCATGTTGGCTCCCAGCTTGAACTTGAAGGAGTGGATGCTTTCAAAAAGAGTTTTGACAGCCTGCTCAATAGTCTTCAGGAGAAGGCAAACTCTCTTAAACTAGTCAGCCTATAATCCTTATGTTATGTTTGATTACAGACATTATGGCTTTAATAAAGTGACTGGGTTCCAGTCCTGCTGTAAAGGCTATTGATGACTATCCTATAAAGAGCGTAATTTGAGTAATGGGTTTCGTGTAACTTGCATGTAAGCAAGAACTTTCACTTATCCCCTTTCCTATGGCGCTTGTGTATGTTTTCGGGGGTGATTGCACAAAGAGGAACAGGACAGGGAACATCTGGATCATGATTGCTCTTTCAATCTCACGTAACTCGGTATAACTACCAAGGTTCGATGTGTATTAATAATCATTTGATAATCAATGTGTATCAATCAATTTTTTTTATAAAAAAAGTAGTGATTATTTTTCTATAATCAGTTATAAAATTTCAACAATCTGATAGACAGTTTTTAAAGGAGTTAAAATATGAACTAAGTTTTAAGGAGTTTGATACAATAGAGACGAGTATAAAGAAAATGTAGAAAAATTCAAATTAGAATACGAACATGTTTTGTGATTGAAGAATATAAGTAACAATCACAGGTCGTATCTGAGTTAAAGAATTATTTAATTTGAATGTCGTTATTAAAATTATATGGAGTGGGTTAGTTGAAGTATTAAAAATGAATGAATTAAATTAAAGAATTCAGTCTAATATAATATAGATGGATACAAAATAAAATTAAACGAGATATAAGATAATACTTAATTGTATAAAGTGTTTAGCAATATACGAAAACGAAAAGAAAGACCGAGGGGGTATTTTCACAATTTTCAGAAACCTGCAACTATAAGATTTGGGGCGGGTAGGATGGTCAATAGACAATCTCAATGGAATAGGCTACACTACATACATACTAGTGCTCAACGAAAAGATGTGGCCGTTATCTTCCCACGGAATGAAATAGAAATACTTCCCTTCCCTACCTCTTACTGTAAACTTCTCTCACTCTCTCTCTCTCTCTGTCTTCGTTACGTTCAAATTTAATTCACTGTGAGTGGAGTGTAAATGGCGAACCTAATATCAGCCATCGGGTGTCCTGCTACATCCTTCGCGATCATATCCGCTGGGAAAGCTGCTGCTTCTTCTTCTATTTCTTCTTCATCATTGGTACGTACGTTAGGTTTTAATAACTGTGTTTCTCTGTTTAATTTTGGCTTCTTTGTAAAAATCCTGCAATATTAGTTCGTTAGCTCAGAAAATTAAGTCGTCTTTATTACGTCATTTTCTTAATCCATTGTTGTAATATCCGTAAAAGTGGGAGTTTGAACTTCCAGTGGTGGCGCAGACAAATTACTCCAAGATCCACGACGAATCAACAACTGTCGCCATCGAGACATTCCAGTAATGATGCCGCATCAACTCCATGTGGTCAGAAACAATTTCATCTTTTCCTGGAGAATATTATCCTTTCCTTTGTAGAATTAGGGAAATTAATAGGTGTATATGTGTCTTCGAATTTTAACCATTCTTTAATTCAGGAGGAATTTTTTGATCTAACTGTTGTGCTTCCTGAAGATGAAAGAAGCCGCCTGGATTGTGTGCCGCTTATTGACCGAAGAGAGGTTGTGATATCTTCAATTGGATTATTAACGGCAGCGTCCTTGTGGACTGTTTCACGGGATGCACTTGCTGTGGCTTCTCAATTTGCTGACAGTAATTTCTATTCCCCCCCTTCATTTTTTCTTCTTCTGCTTTTTATTTTTCATCATTTTCCTTGCCTGCGTGCAATTTCGGGTAGTGACGTGACTTATGAGTGAGCATTGGCGAAGCCAAAATTTCCAAGTTTCATTGGGGCCCAATATAATAGCACAGGAAAAATAATAGGCAATTTCAAAAAGTCGGATTGGGATGGGTGACAGGAGAGGGGGGTTGGCTGTGACTGTGAGGGAACCCTTACGTAAAACTTGGTTTTTTTTTTTGAATCAAAGGGCTAACCATATATGTTCCATCATATTTATAATGTCAAGCATATGTGCTGATAAATTGAGATTTACAGCTGATCCTTTACTATATCCTGGATTAGCTGCTCTACAATTAGCAATAGTGTAACATCTGGTTTTCTTGCCACCTAATAATCTTGCACAATTGGGATTGATCTATGTGCCTGGAAGCGGGGTTGGTAGGATGCTATTGACCAGAACCTCAGAACTGCCTGGATCAAAATTAGTTTAGCTTTGGATGAGACCGCCAAAACTTTTCGTTTTTGGTTGAAACATATACGGGTTAGTGATTGAAAATCGACATTCCAATATTTCATAGAATTGTTTCAAAATGTTTCGACCAAAACGATGCCATTTTCTACGTGTCTCAAGGAAGAGGTGGAGATGGGAACATTGATGGTTCATCACCATGAGATGGTGCTGATTTCAGACTGTTTAGACTGCAACGTTGTTGTTTCTTGCTTGTCAAAGGGAATGAGATGGTGGTAGAACATTGCTCATTCGTGACGAAGAGATGGTCATGATCACTTCATTTGTATTATAAGTCCTTAAAATTTTGTAAATTGTAATTGTTTGGGAGTACTAGAAATAACTTTCACATCACATTAACATTTATTTCTGCTTCTCCAAATTCGTGTATCAATGATGTTTAGACAATAAACATGCTCAATAATCAATTGTGATGCTTATTGACATAGTTAAACATATTTAATTTATTTCTCATCATGTTTCTAAATTTTTTCTTTTTCAGTTTGGTTAGCAAACATTTCTGTTTGTGAGTTGACCTAAATTATAAACCAAAATCTATTTTTTTATCTTTCTTTGTAAATTCCAATATAGTCATCATTTTATTTCATGACATCTGTTTTGTTGATCAGTAACTCAAGTTCTTTATACTGTGATTCATTTATTGATTGAATGTGCTATGATTCACATGCTAAGTGCGTGCATCGAGTAGTTTTAGTGAAGCTAGACAAATTTCAGTGTAGTTAATCACTATATGCAGCCTATCATAGTGGTGAGAACTGATGGTTGGCTCAATGTTTGGACTCACAGTGCCAGCACTTAGGGGCAAGGATTATGGCAAGACGAAGATGCGGTATCCTGATTATGTTGAAACAAAATCTGGTCTCCAATATAAGGTCACCTGTTGGAAGCACTTTTTGTGAGCCTTGCTGGTATATATACTTGCACAATACTCTCATGCTCTGGTTATGTATATTTTAATTTCCTATTCGAAAAAGTGCAGGACTTGCGCCTAGGAACTGGCCCTATACCAAAGATGGGAGAGACAGTGGTGGTAAGCCAACAATTTTTGCACACACATGGTTTTCCAATTGAACACTAATACTCATTTGTTGACCAAATTTGAAAGAAAACAAGTTTTATGGAAGGGAGGAGGATGATTGTTTACCATTTTTAGGGAATATATCATCCACACCCATGTATATCACCATTTCTTAAAGGACATTGCATTATCTAAAACTTGACTGAATTTTCCCATCACACACACACACACACACACACACACACGGGCATATAGCTGCGCCCTCCCCGCCCTCTCAGGCTAAGTACTCCTCTTCCATCTCTGAAAAAACACTTCCTTTGCAGACCCACCAACCCACCCAAACTTAGCTTCTCGACCACTGAGTTCAATTCATCCCCTCCTTAATGACCTCATTCCACCAAACTATGACCTACAATGCACCACCTCCATTCACACAACCACTTCAACCTCTCCTCCCCCACTGCACACACATGAGCACAACCCTCATAGTCCTTCGCATCACCAGTAAGACACATGTTGGTGATGGTGACCTTTTCCTCTTCCAGGACACGAACATCTTTGAACACTTTCATGTCCCACAGAAAATTTTCGTTCAAATCGATGTTTATCTGTTTTTTGTTCGGGCCTGAACTCCATGCAAATTCTATCCTCATAGCCCTTACACGAATAACCCATGTTTGGACATAAAATACAAAATTATGAAAACATTCGATGCATGAGTTATTGGCAAGTCCAAAATCATTAAAGGATTGTCACGTGTCAAGATCTCAAGAAATAAAATGCTAAAAAAAATCCTAATAATTAGGCTATAACTCCAACACTTCCCCTCAAGTTAGGCGTAAAGATGTCAATTAAGTCAAGCTTGACAATAGAGTCTTGGATAATGGATAGAGTGACAGATTTGGTGAAGACATTCGCAACTTGATCATTAGTCACCATAAATGTGGGGTAACAATACAGCAGTTGACATTCTCCTGAAGAAAGTGAACATCGATCTCTATATGCTTTGTCCTCTCGTGTAGTATAGAGTCAGAAGCGAGTTAAATAACAGATTGATTATCACAATATAATGTAGATGGAGAAAATATTGGAAATCCTAACTCGCCAAGAATAGATCTTAGCCAAATAATCTCACATATGTCACGCGCCAGTGCTTGACACTTTACCTCTGCTAATGAGTAGGAGATAACTGTCTGCTTCTTATTCTTCCAAGAGATAAGATGAGTCATTCAAAAAGTACAAAAGTCGTAGTAGATCGACCTTCACAAGATTTTTCGTAATCTGAATCTGAATAATAGGCTAGAGAATTGGTCTGAGACCCTGATGCATAAAACAACTCAAGTCTAGGACAAGACCGTATCCATATGAAATTGAATGACTTGTGCATGAACTGACTAACCCAGTTGATGGCGAATGAAATGTCCGGCTTGGTGTTGGCTAGGTAGATAAGCCTACCTACCAACCTCTGATAAACAATCAGATCTTTCAACTCCAAACCTTCAGTGGTAAGCTTCAAGATTGGAATTATAGGTGATGAAGCCGGTTTGCACCTCAACATCTCTGTGTCCGAGAGAAGATCCAGAACGTACTTCTTCTTAGAGAGAATAATACTCTTGCTAGGAAACTTAAATCCCAAAAAAGTACCACATAAATCCAAAGTCCTTCACATCGAAGGTCTTCTCAAGGTCAACCTTGACCTGTACAATCCCAGAAATGTTATCTCCAGTAATAATAATATCGTCTACATATATCAAGAGAATGACATATTGTCCAGTAGTATTCTGTCGAATGAGACATGTATGATTAGAATGACATCCGGTGAAGCCAAAAGTTACCACCACACTACTAAACTGAGAGAACCAGACTCATAAATGTTTCAGTCCATAAAGAGATTTATGTAGTTGACGCACTTTCCCAACATATTCACCCTCACCACGAAAGTCAGGTGGTGCATCCATATAAGTAGTCTCGTCCAAGTCATTGTGAAGAAATACATTCTTCACATTCAACTAATGAAAGGGCAAAAAATACGAGGTAACTAGAGAGATAATCAAACGAACTGTAGTTAACTTTGCCAATAGGGCAAAGGTAGCTCCAAAATCGTGACTTAGAGTAAAGCCCTTCGTTACAAGCTTAGTCTTGTGACGATCAATAGTACCATCCGCAAGAAATTTCAGGGTGTAAACCCGACAGTCAAAAGTCATCACTCCTGAAGGTAAAGAAATAAGATCTCATGTATGGTTACATTGAAGAGCATCCATTTTTGTCTTCATAGCAAGAAATTGAGACTCTTGCATAGCCTCTAAAACGGAGCGAGAAACTAGCATTCTTCATAATTCCATACTATAAGCCCGAAATGTAGGAGATAGCTCAATTTAAGAAACAACCACAAATCAGATATAAAGCCCTAGTAGCCCAACCATAACAAACAATTGGCCAGCGGTCACGACGCAGATAACGATGCCCTGAATCATCATTCTCCATAGACAGAGTCTCATCATATAAATCAACTGGCTCAAAAATCTCAACACCTATGGTCTCATCAATGCTAACAATAGGCTTAATAATATGCTCAACTAACTAAGAAATACTACTTACATTGCCCGAAGTAGAGGAGACATTAACAAGGGGATGAGAGCGAGGGCGACGAATATAAACTTGCAAAGGAGGAGAGACTGGGATATCATGTGTAACTGGCGACTCTATAGTGACAATGATTAGTGTCTTCAGTGGTAAGCGTAAATGAAAGGAAGTATAGTCAACTGGTGATGCAGACATGAGACTAGAAGTAGAAAAATAAGGTATATGCTCAAGAAAGATAATATTTAGACTGTAATACCTAGAACGCTGGATTGGATCATGACACCGATAGCCCGTAGACTTCTGACAGTAGCCCATAAAGACACAATGAATAGTTTTATCATTAAGCTTACAACGAGTGAGATACCAATTCTTAACAAAACATGTAAAGCCAAGAACGCAAGGAGGGATTGAAGAAAGTGTCCGATCAGGAAATAAGACCTGTAAGGGAATTCTATGCTGAATAACACGACTCGGTGTGCGATTGTACAGGAAGGTAGAAGTCAGAACTGTAAAATGTCAATTAGATTTAGGTACCCCCATACCTCTAAGCATACAATGTACCATTCTTATCAGACTTATATTTTTTCTTTCAGTAACTCCATTTTGCTCAAGAGTATTATGGGTAGGTGAGTTGTTGAAGGATACCTTGGAAAGACATTATATACATATTCTTTGACATTATTTGAATGAAGTGTTTGAACAATGACATCGAATTATATTTTAATCATCTATAGAAATTAAGTGATAATAGGGAGTACATTTGACTTCCTATATAAAAGGTAGTCCTAAGTACAATGGAAATGGTCATCTATAAAGGTTACATAATATCGGGCACCTGACAGAGCAGTAACAAGTGAGAGTCCCCAAATATCAGAGTATATCAAGGTCAAATAGCCTAAGAACCTAGTGCATGCGAGGAATATAATTGATCATAACATGTTTAGATAGTGAACATATAACACAGTTAAGTCTACCACTAGTACAAGCATTACTCAAAATAGAAAATGACAAACATAAATATTTCAAATTTGTAAGGCCAAAATGGTCATGCCACAACTGAACAATTTGTGACAAAAAAATCATAATGACAAGTACTAGGTAAGGTACTAGCATGCAAGTTTGAAACAGATAAACATAAAGTAGGTGCAGGCGGCAAAGAAACTGGAGATGGATCGCCTAAATAGTACAACCCATCTTTATCACGTCCCTTGATAATAATCCTCCTAATACTCAGGTCCTACAAATAACAAGAATCAGTTTAGAACACTACTGCACAACAAAGATCTTTGACTAACCCTTTCTTATGTGTTGGAGCCCACATTATCCCAATCTACAGCATATATTTAGCATATCTCTCTTGTATTGTCATCATCTCGCTATGACTTTGCCTTTCTAAAGTCAGGAATGTAGGGTCGGGTAAGAAGCTACAGAAAAGGAAATCCCTTACTCCATTCCTTCCTAAAGTCAAGAATGGCGGGATGGGTTGTATAGATAATAGATTCATGACTAGCTTTGGCGCATGAAAAATAGAATGTAATGTAAGGCTATTTGGAAGGCGAACTGTACGCCTACTAATAATAGGGGCATGTGTCCCATTTGCCAACTAAACTTGTGTGTGTAACTACTCATTGAAAGTAGTGAAGTAATGAGCCTCACCAGTTATATTATGACCATTTGCACCTGAGTTTAGCATCCAAAGAGGAGAAGGATTGGTGCGAGCATGGAAGACACGAGGTATACCAGTAGTAGCTTTTGCAACAGTAGTCGTACTAAAAAGTCAGAATAGACATAAGCATATCCAATCTGGAAGTGATAACATTCATATCACTTTGCCAAGGAGCAGTAGTAGCCTAGACAACAACATTAGGTGATGGTCCCTCACCAATAGTAGCAGTACAACCTCAAGGCGCAAGATGAGGCGACTTAAGCTCGAGATGAATTTTCTAGCAAGCGATCTTAAGATGCCCTTGTAGGCCACAATAATAACATTGGCGAGAATTTCCTTGTTTGCTCAAGTTTGGAGCCCCCAGTTAGCGCTGGTCTAGACGTTGTCCACCCTTGGCTGGGGGTCTTGATCGAGATCTTATAGCAGTTGCAAGGGCCATTTGGTTGGCCTAAGGAGTTAAGGTTGTAACTGGAAGTGAAGTAATATGGACGTGACGCTCATCTTGCTGAATTACACAATAAACCTCATAAAGAGAAGTAAGTCTCAACATCGACAATATCTAAGAAAAAGGTCCCTCAAATATATCACGAAGCCCCATACAAAATTTGTGAATCTTATTCTCCTGCTCTCGAGTATAGAGAAATGCCGCTCCCTCGGGTTCTGTCCTCGGAATAACAAGTGGATGTAGATTCTCATACTCAAG